ATATATATATATATATATATAGAGAGAGAGAGAGAGAGAGACTGATAACCACTGTGGTACCGATATAACATCCGTTTTTTTAATCTTTTCAAAACTTTTTACTGTTACTTATTTAGTTTTGAAGGTTAAAGGGTTATTAAACATTTCAGAAATGTATATTTTATTTTATATCACAATAAATACCTGTAGTGACAAATGCACCAAGATGTAAGCAAAACCTAAAAAAATCTTCCAAAATCTACTTTTATAGTGTAAAAACAGTATAACATAAACTGAATAAAGTCATTTTTTTTAGTATAGTATTTTTTGTTTTGTTTAGTATAGTTATAGTATAGTTTATAACTAGCTGTATATAAAAACAATGAAAAGTCTATGCAATGTCCCCATTAAGATAACTAAGCAAACGCGTGTGTGTTAGAGAGTTTTACACTAATTTTGTCAGCGTGCCTCTGTGGGAGCAGTTTCCAGTGTTTGTAATTTCCCTCTGTGTAGTGCATCGGAGGAGCTAATTCTGGGCCTGGAAAGAGAGTGTCGGGAGCTTCGAGACCAATCCGGTCAGAAACACTGAATTATGGGACATTTTAAACTATGTCTATACTACAGTATGTCTGTTGGTTGTGAAACTAAAGTGTTTTGTTTCCTCTCAGGAGTGAAGGAGACTCTGATATCACAGCTGACCAAAGAGATCAAGGTATGAGAACATGTGAGAGGGACACTGACGGCGGGAATGACACGTCTCATGATGTTTGTGTGTGTTTAGAGTGTGAAGACGGCTCTGCAGAAACAGCAGCAGGAGAACAGCAGACTCATCAGAGATGGACGAGACCTCAGAGCAGCTGCAGATCAAGTCCAGGTACACAAACACACACTCATGTTTTCTGGGGACATTCCATAGGCGTAATGGTTTTTATACTGTCCAAACTGCATTTTTCTATCACTATACACCAACCCTACACCTAAACCTACCCCTTACAGAAGGACAAGGATTTCAGATATTGCCATCTTTGTGGGGACATTTTGTCCCCATATCGTAGGGTTTACCAGGACCAAACACACACACACACTCCCTCATGATCAATTTAGCATTATATAATTATGTTAGCTCAACAAACCCAATATACTGCCATTGTACAAATTTGGATTAGAGCAATGGTTCCCAATTTTGTTTGGTCACATCTCTGTTTGAAAGTAGTGCTTACCCCCCTATAATCTAATTGTCTTAATATTATATATAATATATCAAATATTATATTATATATTATAATACTAAAGGGGACAAGGGGAAAAGAGTGAGCTGCAATATAAGGAATTAAATTGTACCTATTGAAGAATTTATGTGAAAGGAAAAAAAAAACATTAATTTCCTGCAATTTCTCTTGAGATTTTTTTTTTCTGACAAATTATGATTTTTTTTTTTTGACAAATACAAAAGAAAACAATTAAAACGTCATATGTTCTTTCTGTTTGTACTGTTTTGAATGATAAAACAAGGAAGATACTTCACTGGAAGATCAACTTTTCAGCATTGTTTTTAGTTTTTGTTTTCTGTGTTGCCAAACTGTACATAAAATATTTTAATTATTTATTGCATATCATAATAAAAAAAGAAAACAATTTTTTCTAAAATTTTAGCAGTTATGTTTAAATATTCTATGAAAAATAATTAATTTTCTGCCAGTTTCTCTGAGCTTTTCTGTGTTTCTGACAAAAAACAGCACAATTCTGTTGACAGTGAAAACTGCACACGTTCTTTTGTTTGAATAATGAAGTTACATGTTTCATTGGAAAATAAAACTGAATCAAAAGGCTTGCATTGTTCTGTTTATTTTTTGTTTATTTTCTGTGTTGCAAATATTTACATAAAGCTTTTTAATTATTAAAAAATGGGCTTTTACAATATTCCCAAATAAATTAATAAATAAAAACTGATACTGCAATATTAAAAGAATAACTCACCCAAAATAAAAAAATCCTTTCATATGCAAACCCATATGACTTTATCATCTGTGAAACTCAAGGAGGGATGAAAGGATGGTAATTGTAACTGTCAAGCTCCAAAAGCATATAAAAGTACTGTATAGTAATGTATATCATTCATATGTTCTATAACCTTCTGAAGTCATTCAAATAATATCTGTGAAAAACAGTCGGGCCGTTATTCATCTGGCTCATATGTATCTGTCCATCCATTCAGCTTTGTTAAGCCAAATAACATGATAAACTTTGCTCTTCTGATGTAAAAATGTGTGCGCTTGTTATGAATGAAGGTTATTGTAAGAAGTTAACCTCTTTCTTTCTCTCAGGTGTTGAATGAAGAGTTAGAGGTTCAGTGTTCAGAGCTGAGCACCGCACTTCATTCATTAACGCTGGAAAACACTCGACTACAGACAGAACATCACTGTAAAATTAAGGTATTTCAATTAAGCAACTTCATCATTTGATGGCATGAAAAACAATTGTACATTGGAATTGGCAAGGTGTCATAAGAAACAAAATAAGAATAATAGTAAAAGTTAAACAGTATTTAGCAAATTAGCACTAATTAAACAAGTGATTCAGAAGGATAATGATGGAAAATAATACTACATATGCCAGTAATAGCAAAACTGAACAGAAGTTCTGCTGATAGAGACAGTATTTCTCTCACACACTGCTGGGAATGTGTTGTTTGTTCAGGCGGAGCGAGATCGTGTGTTTAAACACCTTCAGGAGCAGGATCTGCTTTTAGACACAGCCAGAAGGAACATCCAGGCTGAACTACAGGGCACCATATCAGAGAAACTCACCCTGCAGAAAGAGCTGTGAGATACACACACAAATTCACTACTAGAAATCATTCACAGCGGGTGGATCGCGACCCACAGCAGGAAAAAGACAAACGCTTCCTATGTCTTTTTTTGCTGACGCCAAACGCTGTATCCAAGCAAACGCTAACATATTTTGACTTAAATTCATCTCACTTGTAGATTGTTAGATTTAGGCTGATGGCAACGTGTTGCGTGATCCTTGAAAACTAAAAGTAAACAACAAAATAGAAAATATGACTGTAAATCACAGTTCTGACATAATGTACTGTAAATGAGATCAGTATTTTAATGGTTGTAATCATCAGCTCTTTTAATTTCTCTCAAAGGGAGGCACTGAAAGCAGATCATGGCAAGCTGCAGCAGAGTTCCACCGTTGCCCAGGAGACAGCTGTCAATCATCAGCAGATGCTGGAACGCACCATCCAGAGGCTTCAGGGGGAGCTCAGCTGTGCCGTGAAAGATGATCAGATAAAGAGTGAGGTCAGCTGAAAGTTCTTTTATAAGTTCAAAGAAAAGGACGCGATGTTGTTTAAATGTACAGTGGGTACGGAAAGTATTCAGACCCCCTTAAATTTTTCACTCTTTGTTATATTGCAGCCATTTGCTAAAA